GTTTACAAAAGGGTGGGTTATAAGTACAATGTGTCTTGGTCAATATCACCCCTTATCTTGTTCTCCTCATTTTCCCTTTCCCACACTACTCTCAAGTTATACAGTTTCTTTTTTACATAATGTACATTGAATATCATGACTACATTTGCACAGCCTTCCTGGGCAAAGGAGGAATGCACAGGAATGAAGGGAGGAAGGATGAGCAAGTATAAACCTCTATCTTAAAAACAAAATAACCAGGCTAGGAGCAGGTGGCTCCTAGCTACTAAGGAGGCTGAGATCTGAGGATCATGGTTCAAAGCCAGCCCAGGCAGGAAAGTCTGTGAGAGCCTTATCACCAATAAACCACCAGAAAACCAGAAGTGACACTGTGGCTCAAGTGGTAGACCGCTAAACTTGAGCTGAAGAGCTGAGGGACAGATCTCAGGCCCAGAGTTCAAGCCCCAAGACAGACCAAAAACAAACAAACAAACAAACAAAAACTCATAAAAGGCCTGGGAGTGAAGCTCTGAGTTCAATACCCATTATTACAAAAAAGAAAATAGCAAAGAAAAAACACAATATAATTTAAAGTAAAAATGTAAATATGGGGCTGGGAAGGTGGCTCAGCCTACCAAGTGCCTAAGATCACAGGCATGAGTCAATGATATCAACTCTTGCTCTTAGTTTCTGAACTATTAGAGTCAGAACTTCACTGCCTATACATGTGTCTCCCAGTTCTTTTTTTCTATGATTTCCTGTAATAATTTCAAAGTTTCAGGTCTTAAATGAAGATCTTTAATCTACTTCAAATTAAATTTTATATACAGGATGTGGTTTCAGTCTTCTACAGGTGGATAATCTTCTGCATGTTGAAGATGTTTTCTTTTCTCTAAATGTATGATTTTTGGCCACTTTGTCAAAAATCAGATGGCTGTAGCTATGTGAGTTTTTTTTTTTTATTTCTGTTTCAAAGGAAACTGATGTCTAGTTGATTTATCTACAGCTGCTATGTGATCTTAGCTAAGATAGGCATCCTCCTGTATTGTATGGGAAAAATTTTACCTATTCCTATCACAGGATTATTCTAAGTTATCTTCTAAAATAAATGTACTATGTATCAAATATCAAAACTGTTATATTTTTTTAAATGATGGACAAATATATAAAGGTGAAGTAAACTGTGGAGTGTTTCTGATACCTATTGTATACAACATTGCAATGTGTTCAGGAGTTGAACTGGTAGAGAGGCAGCTATTCTATATAAAAAAGAGTCAATGAAAGTTATCTGATTGATACCTCAGGACCAATGGAATAGAATTGAAAACCCAGAAATGAACCTACAGACCTATAGCCATCTAATCTTCGATAAGGGAGCTAAAACAATAGAATGGAAGAAAGACAGCCTCTTCAGTAAATGGTGCTGGCAAAATTGGTTAACTACTTGTAGAAAACTAAAGCTAGATCCTTATATATCACCCTGCACCAGAATCAACTCCAAATGGATCAAAGACCTTGAACTCAAAGCAGACACTCTGAAAACATTACAGGATGGAATAGGAGAAACCCGAGGTCTCCTTGGCTCAGGCCGAAATTTTCTAAATAGAGACCCGGAAACACAACAAATCAAAGAAAGGTTGGACAAATGGTATTGCATAAGGTTGCAGAGCTTCTGCAGGGCAAATGACATAGCTAGCAAGATCAATAGAAAGCCCATGGACTGGGAGAAGATCTTTACTAGCCATACAACGGACAAGGGTCTCATATCTAAAATATACTTGGAACTCAAAACATTAAACCAAGCCGGGCGCTGGTGGCTCACGCCTGTAATCCTAGCTACTCAGGAGGCTGAGATCTGAGGATCGCGGTTCAAAGCCAGCCCGGGCAGGAGAGATCATGAGACTCCTATCTCCAATAAGCCACCAGAAAACCGGAAGTGGCGCTGTAGCTCAAGTGGTAGAGCCCTCGCCTTGAGCTGAAGAGCTGAGGGACAGCGCCCAGGCCCAGAGTTCAAGCCCCACAACCGACCAAAAAAAAAAAAATTAAACCACCCAACAACAAATCCTCAAAGAAACAACTGCCCAATAAGTAAGTGGGCGAAAGACTTAAAGAGAAGCTTCTCTGAAGAAGAAAGAAGGATGGCCAATAGACACATGAAGAAATGTTCAACATCCCTAGCCATAAAAGAAATGCAAATCAAAACAACATTGAGATATCACCTCACTCCAGTTAGAACAGCAAAAATCAAGAACTCTAACAACAACAGATGCTGGAGGGGATGTGGACAGAAAGGAACCTTACTTCATTGTTGGTGGGAATGTAAACTTGTTCAACCACTTTGGAAAGCAGTATGGAGGTTCCTCAAAAGACTTCACATAGAACTCCCCTATGACCCAGCAATCCCACTTTTGGGCATTTACCCTAATGTTTACAAAAAAGACCACACTAAAGCTACCAGCACAACTATGTTTATTGCAGCATTATTTACCATAGCTAAGATATGGAACCAACCCAGATGCCCCTCAGTAGATGATTGGATCAAGAAAATGTGGTATATATACACAATGGAATTCTATGCCTCCATCAGAAAGAATGACATTGCCCCATTTGTTAGGAAATGGAAAGGCTTGGAAAAAATTATATTAAGTGACGTAAGCCAGGCCCAAAGAAACATAAGTCCCATGGTTTCCCTTATTTGCAATATCTAGTATAGGTCTGAGTCAAGCGGAAAAAGTCAGATAATGTGATGTTAGGAAAACGAACCCTCAAATATGTATTTTAATGTTTTTGTTTCTTTCATGCATGTGTTTCTAACGCATTTATAAGATTATTTCTTTGTTGCTTTGTATGTCCCTCCCCCACAGTGTAACCCCCGCTTTCACTATATTTGATGTCAGTATAACATGTGGAGGAGATGGGGACAAACAAGTCGTTTAAGGATTCAGGTGGACCTGTTGCAACAATGAGAAGTACAAAATGTCATGTCAAAACCAGCTTTACAATGTCAGTGTGGGAGGGGGGGGGGTATGATTGGGTAGGGGGGAGGGGGGAGGCTGGGAAGGGAGGTCAAGGGTAAACAAAGGAGGAGGCTGCAATGCTTGGTAAGAAATGTATGCATTATCCTGCCCATGTAATTGTAACCCCTCTGTACAGTATGTTCTCAAATAAAATAAAATAAAATTTAATAATAAAAAAAAGAAATTTAAAAAAAAAAAAGAAAGTTATCTGATTGATGAATTAAATAGGAACATAAAATGGCTGGATGTGGTGGTGGCACCTATCATTGAAGCAATGCAAGATCACAGTCCAGGGCAACTGGCAGAAAGAAAGAAAGAAGAAAGAAAGAAAGAAAGAAAGAAAGAAAGAAAGAAAGAAAGAAAGAAAGAAAGAAAGAAAGAAAGAAAGAAAGAAAGAAAGAAAGAAAGAAAGAAAGAAAGAAAGAAAGAAAGAAAGAAAGGAAAGAAAGAAAGAAAGAAAGAAAGAAAGAAAGAAAGAAAGAAAGAAAGAAAGAAAGAAGGAAAGAAAGAAAGAAAGGAAGGAAAGAAGGAAGGAAGAAAGGAAGGAAGGAAGGAAGGAAGGAAGGAAGAAAGGAAGGAAGGAAGGAAGGAAGGAAGGAAGGAAGGAAGGAGAGAAGGAGAGAGAAAGGGAGGGAGGGAGGGAGGGAAGGAAGGAAGAAGAGAGAAAGGAAGGAGAGAGAGAAAGAGAGAAAGAAAGAAAGAAAGAAAAAAGAAAGCACAAAAAGGGATGGCAGAGTGGCTCAGGTGGTAGGCTGCCTACCTAGCAAATGTGAGGCCCTAAGTTCATACCCAGTACTGCCAGAAAAATAAAATAAAATAATAGAAACAGTGGCTAAGGTAGCTAAGTGTTATACTTCGCTCCTGATCCACTTAGCTTGGATGCATAGTTATTTGCATTAATTAATATAATGATCTGGGCCTGTTCACATGCCACTGTGATCACAAGTTGGATGTGGGCCATCTGAGGATCTAAAATACACATTGTGATTCAAGTAAGGCCTGAGATTCTGCATTTATAACAAGATTCCAAATGACACCATGCTCCTCTTCTGTCCTCTCCTGCAAGGTTCACACTGTCTGCAAGACCAGATCTAAGGATGAACTTGTCTGTCTTGGGAAAACTAGTTAACTTCTCTGGTCTCAGTTTTCTCATCTGATAAACAAAAATATAACATACCTCTGAGTGTGGTAAGGATTAAATGAATTATACCCTTACCATATAACCAGGAAAATGTAGTGAAAAAAATATATAATTGATGCAATAGTTTTATATACCATATGCATACATGTCCTATAAAAGTATCACAATATAGAGCACAACATGCTTGTTGAGAATAGCAAAAATGATCAAATAAATCTTTACATTATCTTCTATTACTCTACATACTACACTGGTACGGATTATTATTTGTTGGGGGGGGGGTAGTACTGGGACAACTCAAGGTCTTTGGCCACAGCCCCAATCTTGGGATGTCTTTAAATAGTGATCCTCCCACCTTCACTTCCTACATAGCTGAGCTAGTCAAGCTCACACCACCATTCCCAGCTTGTTAAGAGGAAGGTCTTGCTAGTTTTTTGCTTCGGCTAGCCCCAAACTGTGACCTTCCCTATATCTGTCTCCTCAGGAGCTGAGGTTATAAGCATGACCCACTATGCAAGGCAAATTAATCAGTTTTTCAAAGGATATACTTTCTATTTCTGAAGCTCTCTAGAATCTTCCTTCATAAATCTTAGGCATAGCAAATAAAAAGTGAGAGAAATAGGAACCTTATAGAAATTATGTCAATTTTCTGTTTGTCCACAAGGGAGCAGTGTTTCAAAAGGTAAAAAGTTTTGCCTGAGTCAAAACAGCGTGGGTAGGAGAAAAGGAAGGTAGGGGGTGTGGATGATTCAGCTGGCTACTGCTCCAAGACATCTGCATTGGACTGAGATCAAAGTGGGTGGAACACGTGTTCTGGCCCGGAAAAGTCTCTCAGGAGCTGCCACAGTTAGCCAACCCCATCGCCGTGTGATCCCAAGAAAAGATGTTCTTGATATTCTCAGTGTCTCTCCTTTGGATTCAGTTGGCTTGTGAGTTAATGAGGTTTCTAATTAAGATAAAATTCTAAGGAGATAGACAGTCACCAGAGGCTGTTATTTATGGTAAGAAATGAAGGAGGAATTAAAGAAGGAAGAAAGAAAGTGACTGTTGAAGAAGAAAAATGGAGGGAGGAAAATTTTCAACTTTAAAAGATGTCTCTAAATTCCTTCCTTAGTGCTTTCTGGGTTTTATTAACTGTTATTGCCTGGATATGTTAATTAGCTTCTCTGTGGTGTTCTTGACATACACTCAACATTCACTGATCATGTCCCTCCACCATTCTCCCATCCTCCCCTCCTAGTCTCTCCCTACTCATCCCTATTCTACTTTCAGATCAACTTTTTAACTTAAATACATGAGCAAGAGCATGTATTACTTTAATATCTTTGTCGGATTTGTTTCAATTAACACTGTTCTGCTTTGTTTTTTAAACAGGGATGAGCGCCCAACAACTGGAGCAGAGACCTAGATTTCTAAGCATCCAAGAGGGAGAAGAGTGTAATGTGTACTGCAACTCTTCCAGCATTTTCTCCAGCTTTCAATGGTACAGGCAGGAGCTCCAAGGACACCCTGTCCTCTTGGTGACATTGGTCAAAGGAGGAGAGATGCAGACACAGAAGAAGCTAACTGTTAAGTTTGATGAAGCAAGAAAAGGCAGCTCCCTGCATATCTCCCCCACCCAGCCTGAGGACAAAGGCTACTTCTGCGCAAGGGCACAGTGCTCTGGTAGCACCTGCTGCCTGCGCCCTATCCCATAACTGCTGTGGCCTCCAGCTCCTCCTCACCCAGCTCTTAGAATAAACAGCCATACCCATCACTGTGCCAATTCCTGCCGTCTCCCCAGAAAAAATTCCCAAAGACTAGCGAACAAAATCCCTATACTCTAAAATAATCTCTGGAGATGTGACCTGGTGGTGATGAAGCCACACTATGGCACTGAGCAGGAGTAGGATATAGGAAGAGAATGAAGCGACATGAGGGTCAATGGAAGATAGCAGACAGAAAGAATGATGATTCTGATTAGTCATGCCATTCCTGACAGAGCCAAGAAACACAAGTGGATTATGTCAGAGCTTTAGTCTAGTATTGTAGAAACCATGAGATTGCTAGGCTCCCAGACTACTCAGATGGAATAACAATCCTAAATATAACAAAAAATAATATCCTTCCCCCACGATATAACCTTGTTTGCACTGTATTTGATATTGGTGTAATTTGGGGAGGGGAAGGGAAAAAGTAAATTGTTTAAATAGAGATACAGGTGGACCCATTGCAACAATGAGATGTACAAGATGCTGTGTCGAAAAACGAACTTTACAACTTTGGCGCGTGGAGGGTGGGGGGATGTGGGGTTGGGGGACAGGGATGGTAAGGGGAAACAAAGGAGGAGGCAACAATGCTTGATAAGAAATGTACCCATTACCTTGCTCATGTAATTGTAACCCTTCTGTATGGTATTTTCAAATAAAAAAATAAAATAAAATAATAATTAGAAGAAAACAATACTGTTTTTTTAAATAGAATGATGCCCAAAGTGTAATCCAGAATCCTCCAACTGTGTTTCCAAACTGATGTCCCGAGCCAGTGATTCTCTTTTTAAATATATATTGTTTATAGTAAGGATACTGTATAGAGGGGTTACAGTTTCATGAGTAAGGTAATGAGTACATTTCCTATCGAGCATTGGTATCCCCTCCTTTGTTTTTTCCCCCTATCATTCCTTCCCTCCCCACTTCCCCAGTACCCTCTGCCCCCCCTCCGCCCCCAGCAAAGTTGTAAAGTTCATTTTCAATATAATGTCTTACACATCTCATTGTTACAAAGAGTCCATCTGCATCCTTATTTCAGCATTTTTTAATTTCCCTTCCCCTCCCCAAATTAGAAAAAAATGTATATACAAGATGTAGGGCACCAGAATCAAATACAGTGAAAACAAGGGTTATACCATGGGTGAAGAACACACAAGAGAAACAAAGAAATCACATAGTACATTATAAGTACATTAAAAATGACAGCAACAAAAATAAAACCTCTTGTGTCTCTATCTTGGGGTTCATTTCACTTAGCATCATCTTAAATGGTCACATATACACATAACTTTTGACCTTTTCTGCTTGTCCTAGACATATCTAGAAACCATGGGACCTATGTTTCTTTGAGTCTGGCTTACTTCACTTAATATAATTTTTTCCAAGTCTTTCCATTTCCTGACAAAAGGGGAGGTATAATTCTTTCTGAAGGAAGCATAGAATATATATATATATATATATATATATATATATATATTCCACATTTTCTTGATCCATTCATCTAGGTTGGTTCCATATCTTAGCTGTAGTGAATAATGATGTGATAAACATGGTTGTGCTGGTAGCTTTAGTATGACCTTGTTTGTGATGTGTTGGGTAAATACCCAAAAGTGGGATTGCTAGGTCATAGAGGAGCTCTATGTGGAGTCTTTTGAGAAACCTCCATACTGCTTTCCAAAGTGGTTGAACAAGTTTACACTCCCACCAACAATGCAGTAATGTTCCCTTTTGGCCTCCTCTCCAGCATCTGTTGTTATTAGATTTCTTGATTATAGCCATTCTAACTGGGGTGAGGTGGAATCTCAATGTTGTTTTGATTTGCAAATCTTTTATGACTAGAGAAGTTGAGCATTTCTTCATGTGCCTATTGGCCATTCTTATTTCCTCTTCAGAGAAGTTTCTCTTTAAGTCTTTAGCCCACTTATTAATCAGTTGGTTTTCTTGAAAATTTGTTGTTGGAGAATTTACTTTTTGAGTTCTAAGTATATTTTAAATATGAGACCCTTGCCTATTGTATACCAGCCAGTGATTCTGAGGTCTCCTAAAGAGTGATCGATACCTATATTGAGAATTAACTTTGAGTGGCAGCTATCAATAATTTCAAGTTTCCCAAAACTGAGGAAGACATAAGTTGACAGGTTCCTGTGTGTGGCTAACTTCCACTAAACTGTTTTTAAGGTTGAGGAACTTCTGAGTATCTGTTAAAAGAAAACATCCACATGAGTTTTTAGAGTAGTAATAAGCCAAGTTCAAACCTGATTCTATAGTTTACCAGCTCAGAATCTTTGGGCTATTGCCTATATCTAAATTTCCTCATAAGAAAAGTTAATAAGTACATTTAACTGGCCAATTTGCCATGAATTAAATATGATATACATATATAGAATTATATAATATCTTCACTGTAAAGACTTCACAAATATCCCAATATATACTTTTATTAATGTTCCTAAATACTACTATTAAATTCTAATTATTATTAAATTCTAATACTATTATTAAAATCTTCACTGATTCAAGGATTCTTTCTCTGTCTAATATTTTGGGTCTCCTCAGAGTAGGCAGGAAAGAAGACACTGTGGCTTGGCCATCTCCTCACATTCTCTTCTTCCTTATTAATAAAACTTTCTATTTTTATTTCAATGACTATATGCTTAGCTCTTTTAAAACCCCAAAACTTCATCTCATGTCTCTCCTTTAGCTAGAGGTTGTAATATAGAATAGTCTAACCAATGAGATATGTCAAAACTCTACTAGGGATTTCCTGTACTGCTTTCATTTTCCTGGTGCTTCATCACTGCTTCATCAGAATCTCTCTACCATTCTCATTTCTTCCTGAAACATGGGAGTGATAACTTCTCCATAAAGGAAAGCATAATAATAACCCACACCCCAACCTCATATGCCGGTAATACTATACCCAATTCAAGTCTAAAACTCAGATCGTTTTGCATGAAAAAAGTGTTATTTATTATGTAGCTAAACATAATCTGAACTATGGTAATACTAACTGAAAATGGTCTTCTGTTTCATGTTTTTCATGTTTCCCAGAAGTGGGTAAGAGGGGAATATGAACAACCTGCTGTGTTTTTCAAAGAACAGATTATTATTTGTGTATAAAATAAAGTCATTGGTGGTTCATCATCAAGACAAGGCATCTGACCCTGAGTGAAAGTTGCTGGCACAATGATTAAGAGCTTATTTGATTGATGTAACAATCATAAAGTCCCTGCACTTGGAAATTCCCTAAACAGAGCAGGTAAACAGAACATCAGAAAAGAAGTCAACTATCAGGAGCAAAAGTAGACCCCAATAAATGAGTCTGTGCCAGAAAGCACATTCCAGAAGAGCCTTTCTCTCACAAGAAAACAAATGGGCTTGAAGATAAGATCCTCTTCTAAAAGCCAATCCCAAAAGATGCAATAGAATCAAAGAGGGGGACCTTTATTGGAGAATATATTTACTATAACTGCTGTAGGTGTCTTTTTTTTTTTTTTTGGTTGGTCATGGAACTTGAACTCTGGGCCTGGGTGCTACTACTTGAGCCACACTGCCACTTCTGGCTTTTTCTACTTATGTGGTGCTGAGGAATCAAACCCAGGGCCTCATGCATGTAAAGCAAGCACTCTAAACTGAGCCATCTTCCCAGCCCTGCCCACTAGATATTGATCTTGCAAGATCACCATTAAATGTTGATGTTTTGCTTTCATTGTACTTTCTGTCTCCATGTCTATTCTTTAAGTTTGGCCATGTGAGTATGTTTCTCACAATTTTCATGGATGTTCTTAAAATTTTACATGCATCCATAGCTAAGATATGGAACCAACCCACATACCCCTCAGTAGATGAATGGATCAAGAAAATGTGGTATATATAATGGAATTCTATGCCTCCATCAGGAAGAATGGCATCGCCCCATTTGTTAAGAAATGGAAAGACTTGGAAAAAGTTATATTTAGTGAAGTAAGCCAGGCCCAAAGAAACATAGGTCCCATGGTTTCCCTTATTTGCAATAACTAGTATATATCTGGGACAACTAGAAAAGGTCAAAAGCTATATACATATGACCAGATAAGATGAAGTTAAGCGGGGCTGGGAAGGTGGCTGAGTGGTAGAGTGCTTGCCTTGCATGCATGAGGCCCTGGGTTCAATTCCTCAGCACCACATAAGTAAAAAGAAAAAAGCCAGAAGTGGCGCTGTGACTCAAGTGGTAGAGTGCTAGATGTGAGCTGAAGAGCTGAGGGACAGTGACCAGGCCCAGAGTTCAGGCCCCATGACCGTCAAAAAAAAAAAAAAAAAAGATGAAGTTAAGCAAAACGAACCCCAAGATAAGGACACAAGTGGTTTTTCTTTCTTGCTATTGTTTCTAACTATTTATAAGGTACCATGTGATCTTTTTTTTGTTGCTTTGTATGTCCCTCTCCCACGGGTATAACCCCTGTTTTCACTGTTTTGATGTTAGTATAATTTGGGGAGGGGAAGAGAAAAAAACAAAATGTTTAAATAGGGATACAGGTTGACCCATTGCAACAATGAGACACTATGTTGAAAAACGAACTTTACAATTTAGTCAGGGGGGTGGGGTTATTGTGGAGGTGGGAGGGAAAGGATGGGGGGGGGGAACAAAAGAGGAGGCAACAATGCTTGATAAGAAATGTACTCATTACCTTGTTCATATAACTGTTAACCCCTCTGTACAGCATTTTCACAATAAAAAAAAACTTATTAAAAAATTTTACATGCGGGCTGGGAAGGTGGCTCAGTGGTAGAGCGCTCGCCTTGCATGCTCGAGGCCCTGGGTTTGATTCCTCAGCACCACATAAGCAAAAAGAAAAAAGCCGGAAGTGGCACTGTGGCTCAAGTGGTAGAGCGCTAGCCTTGAGCTGAAGAGCTGAGGGACAGCGCCCAGGCCCAGAGTTCAGGCCCCACGACCGGAACCAAAAAAAAAAAAAATTTTACATGCATCCAT